TAGCTTAAGCAAGCGCCTTAGTGAGGAAGACACAATGGTAAGCATGTCTCTCCTGTATCACTAGCGTAAAATGTGCCGTTAACTAATGCAAAGGGACCGTAAGGCACCACATATACGGGGGCGGGGTGCAAAAAAAGACACTTTGGCCGAGTCACATAACAGTGAAGTTTTCGCAGCCCAGACAGAGTACCAGGGCGGAAGATACCCAAGATGTTCCTCGATAAGCAGGAGCAGGCTCTCGTCCATCACCTTCATGTACACCAAAATATGAAGCCATCTCCAATCGCAGCCGGACTGGAGAAGGCCTATGGAATTCACGTCACCTCCAAACAGCTGCGAAACTTCTTGTATGGAGTCACCCATGGACAGCTACCTGGGACCAGCACTCTTGATCTGGAAGACCTCCAACATCGAGCAGCTCCGACAACGTCGCTACGGTCCAGGATATCATCTTCACCGCAGTCGCCAAGGCGCGGGTTGATGGTATGGACCGGAGTACCTGGAATGGAAAGACCGATATTTTCTTCGTGGACCCCGGACTGAAGGTGAGCGCTGTTACATCGAGCAACTCGAGAAGAATATCCTCCCTCATGTCGTCGCCCGTACCTTCTTGGAAACTTTGTACTGCTACAGGATTGGGTGCCAGCACATGGAATCGAAGGGCGTTGGAAAAACTCTCGCCTACTTGGAATCGAAGGGCGTTGAGAACCTGAAGAAGACGGAATATCCAAGTGTGTCACCTGACCTAAACCCCCTCGATTACCGGGTCCGAGCGGAGCTCAACAGGGTGGTCTACAGTGGCGGAGAAATCAACGACCTCGCTGAACTCAGGCACCGAATCACGGTCGCGTGGCAGAATCTCTCGATGGCGCTCGTCCAGAAGGCTGTGGCGGAGATCATGATAGTGTACAATGTGCTGTTGAATATGGTGGTGGAAATGTCCAATCAGAATTTAATAAAGTGTAACTTATATCGCCTTGAAAGTCGAGGAAGAAAAGTGTCTTCCCCCCCCCTCTCCCGTAGACTGACTCCTGCTGCTTGTGCGCATCTTCGGTTAATAGACGGACATAAGTTTTGCTTATTGCAGTTTAGGCTTGGCTTATCGTCCAATTTCTGAGGTCGGGACGATTCGGTCAGCTGGCGCCACTCACTTCCCCACCATTTTTCTTATCAGTACTTCCTTAACCCTACAC